ACCTTGGACCAGGCTGCCCAGGGAAGTGGTGGAGTCACCATCCCTGGAGGGATTTAAAAGACGTGTAGATGCGGCACTGAGGGACATGGTTTAGTGGGCATGGTGGTGTTGGGTTGATGGTTGGACTCAATGATCTTAGAGGTCTTTTCCAACCTTAATGATTCTATGATTCTATGATTCTATGCTTCCCCCCATCGCTGCTGCAGGAGGAAGGGCTCAACGACGTGCAGGAAATGATCAAAACGGAGAAGCCGCACCCGGAGCGCCGGCTCCGAGGGGTCCTGGAGGAGCTGAGCAGTGGGTGCTTGTGAGTAAAAGATGGGCAAAGGTGGCACGTTGCAGCCCCTGCTCTCTGCGGGGCTGTGGGCAAGGTTGTGAGCGTAAGCCCACCTTGCCTTATCCTCTGGATGACGGGCAAGCATTTCATCGCATTGGCACAACACCGTATCTGCTGCCTTCTGGCTTGGAGCATGGGTGAGGTGGTGCTTACATCTGCACCCCAAAGACCCCAAACCAGCGGCGAAAGCCTCAGCCTTGTGGCATCCACAGGCTGGTACCTGATCGACACCTGCACCCCATGCATGACACTCAGCACTGGGTGCAAACAGGCCACTTGGCCGCGATTGCGTTGCAGACTGGGGGGCGAACAAGGGCATTTCCCTCCAGTGACATGCCCTCCTGCTGGCAGAGGTCCAGCCGGCCACAGCTCCTTGAGGAGAGCCCGCGGGCTCCCACGGGATTCATCCTGCTGACCTTTTCCACCAGGCGCTTCGTGACGTTGGCTGACAAGGACCAGCACCACTCCTCCCGCACAAGGCTGGACCGGGAAAGGCTCAAGTCCTGCACGCGGGAGCTGGTAAGTGGGATTCAGCCAGGCAGGGGGGAGGATTCATGAACGGGGGCTGGACCTTGTCAACGCAATGGGGAACTTTGGTCCTTAGGCGTGCTGATTTCCATTCTCTGTGGGTTGGGGTTTATTTCTGAAAAGAGGAGCTCAAGACCACTCGGGTCCTGCACGGGTCCCAGGTGGCACTTGGGCCCATGCTGCTGCCTCCCCTCCACCACACTCTGCTTTGCCTTGGAAAGAAAACCAGGAATACAGGGGAGGAGCTGCATTGCTGTCAAACAGCTGAGGAAACTGGGAAGGAGTAATTTAGGGGAACCCTGCAGAGCACGGCTGCTCCAGGGGTAGATATAGCCTAGATGTTTGGGGCTGGTAGCCCAGTTCCTTGCAAAGAAGTTGGAGGTGCAAAAGAGATGTACAAAGAGCAGGTGGCTTATCCAGCTGCCACAGCCGAGGACACCAGCTTCAGTAGCCAGCTGCATCCCTCAGAGCGATGAATTTAACACGTGAAAGCCTCCACGTCCCCTTTTCTGAACTGTCAGGTGCTGAATTACAGCAGAGTCAGCAGAAGGGGAGAGACTATCCTTAACACCAGGCTAGAAGCCAACCCAAAATGCCCTAAGCACAGCTGACACCTCTCTGTCCTGCACACCTTCCGCTGGGACAGACGTCTCTGCACTGTCAGGGGCCCTCCTTGCATCATGCCAAGGTTGATGAACGGGTGTCAGAAGTACCATCACCAGGGTGCACGTGGTGGGATTAAGGCATCTGCCTCCTCACCACCCTTTCCCAAACGCCAGGGACCTGCCTGGTGCTGCTCCCTTCTCTGTGCTCCATTCTGCTCTTGCTAATGTGGTGTCTTGGGCTCTCCTTTAACCACAGGAGAACATGGGGCAGCAAGCCACGACTCTGCGGTCGCAGGTGAAGAAGAACACGATGAAAGACAAGCTGAAGCTGGTGCAAAACTTCCTGCAGAAACTCCGGTTCTTGGCAGATGAGGTGAGTCCCTCTGCACGGAGAAAGGGTGTTGTCTGGGTCAGAGCATGCCAACAGCAGCCTGGGATGGATGGAGACCTCTCTGCAAACCCTGTAGGCAGGAGGGGTCCCCAGTGGCCCAGGCCTTGTGCAAGGAGCCACTCCAAGTCTACGCACTGCCCCACGCCTCCCAGGCTTGCTTGTGCACTGCTGGGTTGGAACGAGTCAGCGCGAAAACAAATTTAAGAGCCCTTCCCAGCCAGTAACAGAGCTGGGTCCTCTTGCAGCTGAGCTGAAGGCATTTCTGCCAGCCTCAGCCATGGCAAGGCCATGCAGTTCCCTGGGGGATCAGTCATTGGAAGGTGGCACACGTCCACAGAGCGTTAAAGTCAGCAGCAGGGAGCTGTTTCTGGTGCTGGCTAGGTAGGGAGTTGTTGAAGTAACTGGCTCTTCGAAGGGCTGTGGGGTAAAGCCCTGTCCTCTTGCAGAACTCAAACCGTCTAATTTTTGTTGCTGCAGCGCACTCGTGCTTCACCCCAGCTCACGGGTAAGAGATAATAGTCCAATATATTAGACTTGCTCACGGCATTTCCAAAGGAAATATTTTCCAAATATCTGCAAAATATTTTTTCCTTCTTTCAGAAAATTCCACCGTTCCTCTGATATTTTTACAGTTCAGGACTGGGTCAGCCGTTGGGGGTTACTGGCCCTCACGGGCGCTGTAGTTGTTGCACCTCCTGTTCTCGTTTCCCATGGCAGGCTCCCAGACTCAACTACGTACCCCTTATTACAGCAAGGCCTTCCTTGGCTTTGACTCACCACAGCAGAACATAAACCAGACTATAAGGTGTGATGGGACCTGTCCAGACAGGGAACCTCTTCCATAGTAAGGAATGAAGGTATGGCCCCTGCCCTACAGTTCCCATGGCCACTGAATGACGAGAAAAGGAAAGTTTTTAGTCTTCTAACCCAAAATTATTATTTTTTTAAACTAGAACAAATGTAAATCCCAGTTTCTTTCCTGCTAGGCTTCACCCTGCTGAGCTTAGCTCTGAGCAGCTTTTCTTAAGCAGAAAAGCTTCTGCAGTTGGAGGCTCAAAACCGTTTCAGTGACCCTAATGTGGCAATGGGTACGTCCATCTCCTGTGGCATGTGTTGAATTTGCCTTCAGAAGGTCTTCAGCCCCGCTGGTGCCTCAGTGGTCAGAAAAAGCTGAGACGCTGACAGGGCTCTTCGCTGGTGTTCACAGCCCCAGCACACTATTCCCGACATCTTCATCTGGATGATGAGCAACAACAAGCGCATTGCCTACGCCCGCATCCCTTCCAAGGATATCCTCTACTCCATTGTGGATGAGGAGATGGGCAAGGACTGCGCCAAAGTGAAGACCGTCTTCCTCAAGGTGCCGGTCTGTCTTCCCTGGGGGAACTGCAGCCAAGAGGAGGGAGATGGAGGAAGGACAGACTGGGAGGATGGGAGATGGAGACGAGAGAGCTGTGTATCAAATTTTGCTGGTGCTTGAATGCTAGGCAAAACAGACCCATACTCTACTGGTAGGGGTGGAAGTCTGCTGCTAGGAAGTGTGAACCACTGATCTTACCCAGTCAGGTAAGTGAGAATTGTCTGGAAGGAGAGAGGTGTTTGATCCAGCTGGCCACAAAAGAGGATGCTGGCTTGGAAAGAGGAAACCAACATGGTTGGAAGAAGATAATGCATGAGCCAGAGTAGTGTCGTGATCCAAAATGATGAGGGCTGGGTCCCTGGTTTTAAGGGGCAGCTGTAAAAGCAATGCAGCAGAAGGAGTTGAATGCTGCAAGAGGTGGTCTGTCTGTCTCTAAGGCCTTCCCTACAGCCATGTAAACTCTTCTGTCCTTTGTGCCCAGCTACCCGGGAAGAGGGGGTTTGGACCTGCTGGCTGGACAGTTCAGGCCAAGATGGAGGTGTACTTGTGGCTAGGCCTCAACAAACAGCGCAAAGACTTCTTGAGTGGCCTGCCCTGTGGCTTTGAGGAGAAGAAGACCGCCAGAGGCCAAAACCTGCCGTCCTTCCCACCCATCAGCCTCCTTTACACCAGTAAGAACTTTCTGCCTGCAGCGGGTCTGGGGACAGGACATGGAGAGGGCAGGAGGGAGCCTGGCTGGACACCACTTGGGCCAAGGGCTTCCAGGAGCTAAGGGGGAAATAATTCCAGTTGTCCCAGTCTGAGGTCTCCCACTGCTCCCATGGGGAGCTGGGGTGTGGGAACTGTGCACCCTCTTCCCTACCCCGTTCATAGCTGTCATTCTGCACGTGGCAAGCAGGACGCTGAGGCAGTCCATATCCATTCAGGACTCATGCTTTGAGCCTATATCCTTCATCAGTGCTGGCCTTGAGCAAAAGCATGCCCCTGAGACCTCGCTCTGCAGGCTGAGCCCCACTGCTGGGCTCCAGGGTTGCGCATCAAGCTGTCTCACTTCCCCCCCTCTCTTGCAGAGAAGCAGGTTTTCCAGCTGCGAGCCCACATGTACCAAGCCAGGAGTTTATTTGCGGCTGACAGCAGTGGCCTTTCAGACCCCTTTGCACGAGTCTTCTTCATCTCCCAGAGCCAATGCACCGAGGTAGACACCATCTCCTGACCTGGAGGGCTGGGTTGGGCTCTGGCGTTGCACGTCCCATCAGCTCTCCATCCTGCTCCCCTGCCACAGCTCTCACGACTGCTAGTGAATCAAGGATTAGGTTGATCATGGGGTCCTGGGGTGGGAAAGCAGTCACAACACTGGGGCTTGACTGTCTCCAGGAGCCCCTTCCCCAGGAGCACCTTCACGACATGCCCCCCTACACCAGCACACAGCTATCCTGTGTCCCTGTGGCCATGATTCACCTGCCTGGTTAGGAGAAACTGGAGCATGTTGAAGTGGTTTTTGTGTCTTCCCTTCCCAGGCTGATGGCTGCCAGGCTTTAGCAAGCCTGGTGGGCACTGGAAATAATTTGTGTCTGCTTGCCTGCTGTCGGGGTTTTTTTTTCTCAGAAGAGTCCTTGGGAGATACCCCAATGGCTCACTGGTCCAAAAAAACGTGCAGCAGCCCACTAGTGCTGCCAGACACTGGAGCTGCAGCCCGACACACGGCTGAGACAGGCCAGGGCTGTGCTTGTTCTCCAGAACTCATCCCTGTGGTTGCCCCATCACAGGGCACTGTTTCACCCTGATTTTACAGAAAGAAGGAGATAAGCAGAGCAAATAGAAACGTCAGAGTGAAGGGTGAATGCCGCAAGCTGCAAGGGTCAAGATCCGCAAAGCATTTCAGACCTATAATTCCCCCTCCATTCAGATCAGGCTTCAGATCCTACCGTGGATCTGTCTCATCTCCTGCCCCATCAGCCCTACGCTCTGTATAGCACCGGCTGCCTTCGCCCTTCGATCCAACAAACAGCTGCAAACCAAAGCGCTGCATGGAGAGGACATCGATACCCAGTAGACAGCAGACAGCTGTAGTGTACACATCTGCATCACAGCGCTCTTAATTCTCTTAATAAACGGTGAAGACAAAAGGACCCCTAAAGGGTACAGTGCTGCTCATCTATTTTAGCCGTACACCTTAGGAAGAGACAACTGCACCCTAAAAACATCGCGTTCTTTCCACTGCTTATAAAGGAAACCTGGGGTGACTATTCTAAAAGTAATGGACCCTTTACATTGTCCACAATGTCCAAGAGAAATATTTTCAAACCACTGCCCGCCCCAGCACTGCTAATGTCCTGGTGCAGGAAAACTGGGACCAACGCCCTGTCTGCTGCCCTTGCACAGGGCGTTAGCCCCTGGCTGGAGTGGTAAGTCCCCCTGCCATTCTTCCAGGTTCTCAACGAGACCCTTTGCCCGACCTGGGACCAGCTGCTGGTCTTCGACAATGTGGAGCTGTATGGGGAAGCTCATGAGATGCGGGATGACCCTCCCATAATTGTCATTGAGATCTATGACCAGGACACAGTGGTAAGATGAATCCCAGCAAAGGAAAATGTTTATGATTTAGATGCTGCGATCACTTCTAAGTCAGAGGCAAGGTAGATGGTGCAGAGGACGTAAGAAGCAGATTTTCTCCCAACCCTTGGAAGATGGTCCCCCCCCCACATCTCCCATGGCATGAGCAGCCTCTGCTGCTCATTAGATCTCAGACTCAACTTAATGATATCTTATTTTTGGAGAGTGAAGCAAGAGCTTTTGTTTGTGAGGCTGGAGGCAAGGAGACATTACCTGAGTCTTTCCCTTTAGAAAAGCTGCTCAAGTCCTGGCCTCCTTGCTGTCCCAGCCCTAGGCCACCTCCTTCACCTTATCTGAAGAAGCCAGGAGTGAAAGCTGGCACTGAGCTTTGGTGTCCCAGGCCCAGTGGGCTGGTCCTGTTCTGACCACGATGGGGAGAGCTCTGGGGCTGACTTGGGAGACTTCACGTTGGGTCAGCAAACCCAAGTGCTCTCTTCGCCTCTCCAGGGCAAAGCTGACTTCATGGGCCGCACCTTTGCCAAACCAGTGGTGAAGATGTCGGATGAGCACTACTGCCCCCCGCGCTTCCCCCCACAGCTGGAGTACTACCAGATCTACCGGGGCAACTCCACAGCAGGCGACCTGCTGGCTGCCTTCGAGCTGCTCCAGGTACCAGCTGGCCAAAGCCACCCCAGACCAAGGGAGGGAAAAGATGGGATGGGGGGGTTGCAAGGGAGCGGGGCTTAACCCGTGCTTATATATCTTAGGTGCTGCAAGGAGCAGGTCGTTCGTACATTCTAGAAAAGCTAGAAGGGTTTAGCACAGCTACTAACCCGGTGAGAGGGCAGCTCCTGCCCAGTTATGCCGGTCAGGATGATGTGCAGGGAGTCCCAGACATCCTGCTGGACAGGACACCCCACTAAAAGTGTTGTGTTAGCCCAAACTCTGCGTCATCACTGGGATACGGGAGGTGCCAATGGGAGTCCTGGCGTTCTTGGAGATGCCAATTTGAAGGTCTCAAGAAAAAGGGGTGTGAATTCATAGCAGCATCCCAAAAATATGATGAAAATGAACGAAAATGAATGAAAACGTGTCTCAGCAGACTCCTGGTGTGCAGGGAGCATGAGACGTCCCAGCTAAGAGAGAGGTCCCAGCAAACTCAGCGCAGTGCTGGTGGGTTCGGATGTGCAAGGACCGACCTACCACAGGCACCTCTAATGCAGCTGAGCACCAGCCAGGGGCAGCGGTCCCAAGGCTGGCCTCGCATCTGTGCGTGCCGGGAGCAGGCAGTGCCTGGGGAGGTGGACCCTTAGGAACTACCTGCTCCCTCCACCTCTGGGTCTCCCCTTGATTTCAGAGGAGACTTTGCTTTACACGCCTGTCTATCTGCCTGCAATGTCCTCAGATGCCCTGTGACGATGCCTGGTGTCCCACTCCCCAAGGTGCTTGTCCTGTCTCCTCTGCCTGCCAGGGCAGGTGCTTGTCCAAGCCTGTTTTTTTCCCCTGAACTTTCCTTGCAATGGGGCATTTTCTCCAGGGACTGGCTCACATCGGATATTTGATCTCCCTTATGCCCTGGGTTGGAAACAGGACCTGAAACCTGCTCCTGGGCTGAGCTCTTGGACCATTTCTGCACCTCTTTACACCTAGCCCAGGCAGATGCAACTCCTTGCAGGAGGAAAAGGAACAGCCCTGGGGTTGAGGTGTGTTGGTGGGCTGAGAAGTTTGCGTTGCTGCTGGGTCTGTCCTGTGTGGAAGCACAGCACTGCCCAGCACCTTCCGCTCGGGTGTACGCCTTTTCCCAAAGTACCCGCACAGTACCGTCAGCTGGATGCTCAGCAACCCTTGTTGCTCCTGCACCCTCCGAGACGGCGCAGACCCAATGCGTGAGAGCAGGGTGTGCCAGCTACAGCTGAGGCTGGCAAAAAGCTGCTTTCCCAGCAGCTGAGCGCCAGCTCAAAGGAACAGATCCTAATCCACGCTGCATCTCTTCCAGATTGGCCCTGGGGGCAAGTCAGACCTGCCCCCAATCGATGGCCCCACAGACGTGGACCGGGGCCCCATCCTGCCAGTGCCACTGGGGATTCGGCCGGTGCTGAGTAAATACAGAGTGGAGGTAACTGCCTTGGAGCACCGAATTTTAACGTTCAGCATTGTGTGGGGCAAGAGAGCCTGTCCATGGGTGCTTGAAGGCCAGGAGGGATCTCTGAGGCTCTGATGACTACCTGGGCACCAAGACCAGATGTCTGTACTGGCTGCACGGGGAGAGAGGCTGCAGCAGCCCTAAAAGAACAGGGAACCGGATCACTCCTTGCTGTCTTAAAGGTGGGCACCATAGCAAGTCTAGAGCCCTGCAGTAAGTGGCATTTGGGCCGAGACGCAATGCAGGGCACATTAGAGGTACACACGTAATACATCTCTACCCGCAGCAGTCAGGTGAGCTGCATCCCACCAATCTCAGGCATCAAGGGCAGAATGCCCCTCATGTACCTGCAGGTATCTAAAGGGTGATGCATCCAATCAGGGCCCCTCTCCCTTGGTTGTCTCGGTGGTGATCCAGGCAATACAGCCAGTGACGTTCGTTGCACAATTCACCCATGGTTGTAGGTGTATCTGCTCAGGTGAGATGCTGCTGACCAGATCTCCAGGTCTCTAAAAGGATCCTCGCTCCTGGTCTTCCACACATTTGCAGCTGGTTAAATAAATCGTATTCCTCTGATGTGCAAGGTGAATACAGCCATGAGGAATCAGGAGGAAGAAAAATCTCAGTTTAGGGGAACTTTCGGTCATGGCGGCAGTCTGTTATCCTATGAAGGGAGAGGCAAGTTCCCCCAGTGATACTGATATCACTTTGATAAAACGATGCCAGCACTGAATCAAGAGCCACTGTGGGTGGACAAAGCTGGTCTGCTCCTGCTCTATGGAGTCCCATGGCAGAAAAAGGCTAGAAAGGGAGAAAGGCAGAAAAGGGAGTGTCGAGGGCAGCAGGTTGGAGACCTTATGCTGCCGCAGATCAGGTGTGGGGTGGATTATGTGGGGTGTCAGAGAGAGACTGTGCTGCAGCCCTGAGACATGTGGAGGAGGAGAGGATACCTTGGGGATCCACCACTGCCCAGGTGATGACATTTCACAGCAAAGTCCCTGCTCCTGGGGGACGTGGAGAACCAACTCCTTTGGCTCCAGCCAGGGGCAGTCCCTCTCACATTCATGTTCTTCCTTCTCCTCCTCCTGCCCTAGATCTTGTTTTGGGGGCTGAGGGATCTGAAGAGAGTGAACCTGGCCCAGGTGGACCGGCCCCGGGTGGACATTGAGTGTGCTGGGAAGGGGGTCCAGTCAGCCCTCATCCAGAACTACAAGAAAAACCCCAACTTCAGCACTTTGGTCAAGTGGTTTGAAGTGGTGAGTGTTTCCTCTTCTCCCTGAGCCCTCAGCTGAAACCCAGATTTTCTGGAACCCAAACCATGGCTCCTAGCCCCTTTCTTCAGTTTCCCCACAGCAATGGAGGACATGAGCTCCATCCCAGTTGGTGATGGCCTTTCTCTGAGGGCTTCCAAGCCATGCTGGAGCCACTCCAGACCTCTTCCTCCAGCATGATCCCTGTTTTAGTCCCTACTGGCCTTTCCAACCACCAAAGTAGACATCCCACAGCCCACACCCAGCCCTTGATAACCAGCACACCTTTTCTTCCCAGGATCTCCCGGAGAATGAGCTGCTTCACCCACCCCTCAACATCCGGGTGGTGGACTGCCGGGCTTTCGGGCGTTACACCCTGGTGGGGTCCCACGCCGTCAGCTCCCTCCGAAAGTTCATCTACCGCCCACCAGATAAGAAAGCCCAGCACTGGAATATGACAGGTACCAGGCTTGGGCCATGGGGACCTGCCCAGTACGGGTCATCGGTGGGGCATTGCGCATGGAGAAGAGGGAGATGGGTGGAGGTTTGTAAGAACTATGGGATATTGCCTGCTTGTTGGTTAAGCAAGCAGTGATTCAGGGTTTGGGTCAAGGGGGTGAGAAGGCACAGGGTGTGAGGCCGTGATTGCCCTTTGATTTTTTGATCTGTGGGTCTCACTGCAATAATTGCATGCTCCCCCTGATACCTGTAAGACAAGAAAGGCTGGTTCACCTCTAACGTCTCTGCAGCTTCATGACTCTATACTCCCCAAATGTTCCTCAAGACTGGGAGGTGAATTTGCCACGCTCAGTGCCTGCTGCTGCTGCTATCTGAGTAAAGACTAGAAAGCTACAGATTGAGGCCACCCTCTCAACCCCAACACCACCCCATCTATCAGCACCCATGGCAAAAACCATCACAAACCCACTTTCCCTGCACCCAGCACAGCAGCCGAGGGCTTGGTGAGCCACAGGAATTGCTCACCTCCTCCCAGTCCTTGGTGGACGTGGAGGCACTCCTGGCTGGGCAGAGATGGGAGGTCTGTGGGAGGATTGCCAAGGGCCATCCCTGGTTCCAGCCAGGGGTCTGGACCTGCGGTTGTGTCCACGCCAGCTGATACTTTCAGGGCAATCATCTTCTCTGCGTCTTCTCCTCTGGAGGCTGGTGCAGGTGAAAAAACACAGTCCTTTCTCATCATCTGCTTCCCTTTGCTATGGAAGGGGGTTTTAATCATGCTGTAAGGGTCTGTGCTCATTTCCACCTCTTTTCTTCTCTGACCAAGGTGGTCACACATCACTCCTGCATGAATCCTGTAGGATCTCACCTAAGCTCTCAGTTTCTCCTCTACATTACCCTTCTTTATCCTTCTCTCTTGTACTTTCTCTTTCTCTGTCCTCTGTCCAGCTAAACACCTCAACGGCTATCTGGCAATGGCCAATGGGGCCCATCGCTCTCACCCCACAGGGGAGATCGTTGTCAATATGGAACCAGAGGTTCCCATCAAGAAGATGGAGACGATGGTGAAGCTGGAAGCTGTGAGTATCCGTATGTCAGCACCACTTTAGTATCTCTTTCCTCACTGAATTGCTGGTCTTTGAGGGATTCCATCCAAACGGAGGCCACCT